ACACAACTCTGTGATCTGAAAGCGGACAGATTACCACTAAAGAGTTCGGCCGAGAGAAGGCGATCACATACTTTGCTACAGATCGCCGAAGAGGAAAGTGACGAGTTTCCAACTGCGAGCAGCGATGCCTTCATGTCGGACACCAACGACTCCTGCGCTTTGGGAGAGTGATTGCAGGCAGCCAAGAATGGAAATCAGCGTTTTCAAAGAGCCAAGAGTATCCTGAAACATTTGTTTACCAGATCACCACCATTAATGCGCTTACCACGTACTAAACCTCACAAGTTTGAGTTTGGGAGAGAGATAGACACTTACTTTCTCCTGCGAACCATCGATGAAATGCTCAATGAGTTGATGAATAACGCTCTGACCATCTTCTTTAGCCTCGCATATCAGAGAAGCAACACCAGGGTACGATTTAACTAATTCTGCCAACAAGCTCAGAATTGCTCCTCGACTTATCTAAAAGGAGAAGAGTTTGAGGTTCCATCACCAGTGTTCTCTACAGCAATGATCACTTACCATTCTTGTGTGTCCTAATGGCACGCTGCTTTCTGATGGCCATTCACCATGAAGACATTCGCGGAGCAATAGTTGAACAATCTTCAAGAAAAAGCTGATATCATAAGCCGCGGCCATAAAGCTGTATATTAACTGCACCTGCTGTGTTCGCTCATTGCTTGTAGGGGCCGAGAAATGAGGCTTCGATGAAGTTGAAACCATCAACGTGCCATCCAATTTAGCGCATTTTTCCATTGAATTTACGAAAATTCCAGGTGCCCTGTTGAAAACAACGATGATGTTCTCTTCACGACTCAAAAAACAGTTCACCAACTAATCGCCTGTTCTCGCATAGCGAGATAGGAGCGAATACTTTCACACCCTAACCACGAGAGAACCAAAAATGGTACTGTAACAAAATCAACTACAACGAGCTCATCATCAGAAGGTGATACATTCGTGTTCCTGTTCAAAACCAAATCATATTTCTGTTAATAACAAAAATACCTTGTTGAGAGAGGTGCGAGCTTGTTGAGTGTTTCACACCAATCCTTAGGCTTATTCTCTGACATTCCAAGATATTCTGATAGAGGAGTAGACTGCACAGGATTCGTTACGACACGTACACTCTTCTCCATTACCTAAGTGTGAAGCTACATTAGAGTATTCTCATGAGAAGTAATTCTAGTCATACCTGCGCCATCATGTTTTCATCATCAATACATTGTCTGATGATAAGCGATGTCAGTACGGAAGTGGATGGGGTTGTGGAACAGCGCAATTGCAATACCGCCGCAATGCCACCTTGCTGGAAAGAACTGCCATTTCGGGAGTAACCCACGCAAGCAAATGTGGTACAAACCTGAATGAAGTTCACTGCGCAGTTCGCGTCTCTGGTGAGTCTTGCGACCTCCTGCCGCAGTTCGCGTCTCATAGTGAGGCTTGCGACGGAATGCGAGAATAGTATGAGCAGCAGTGTGGTGAATCAATGACTTATGCAACAAACTGACAACTATGACGAGCAATCGAGATGTCTCAGCGGTGGTCCACACAGATTCACGCTCCTTCAAAAGCGAAATATACCAGAACTGCTACCGTGCCAATCAGATCGTACTTACCGATTTCATAAGCGTTCTATGTCTGCAAGCACCATCCGGTATTTTCGTGGAACACCGAACTTGATGGCAAAGAAGGCCCATCATTCTGTTGTCGTTTTTTTTTTTTTTTTTCTTTATCTTCCTCAAGTACAATTCAACGCGTGAAATCCCTTCTCTTTCCTGAAAAAAATGACATCAAAATGCTTTTTTTCTAACTCAGACCCAATCCAAACCTACCTTGGAATTTTGATTACGCAGGTGGTTTTGCCAGAGAAGAACGCCTTATTCAACTGAAGCTGATTCAGCGGTGAATATGGTTGCCATTTTTTGTGACCTAAATCGTAATATTTTGCAACAATATACAGGGTGGCTGAAAAGTATAGGACGCCATGTTTTTGATGTGAAAGTCAAGAAGGAGACTCTATCAAGAAAGCAACATTACAGAAAGATAGAACTGGGCTATGCGATAACTCGGGACCAAGATGCTCTGACATTGACAATTCTGCTTTGACAGAGGCCTATTGACGTTCAACGATAGAATCAGCAGCGCTCCGCAGTTAGCCTACTGCGATGTTCTGAAGCGCTAACTTTAGAGCATCCATCGAGCTGTAAAAGCCCTCAGAGATGTTGCTCTCTAACATCCTGGAGAAATGCGCGGCTAGAACGTCTTTGATCAATTTGAAAGCGTACAAGGGTGCCCAGCTTCATTGGGGAGCAAAGTTCGGTTGGGCAGATTGCTCGTGAATCCAGAACAACATACCGTACCTCAACATATCTACTGCAAGACCTTCGAATTAATTTTAACTTTTTCTGAAGATGAACACCAATGGAGCTGCACTTTTGGATGTTACCCCGTCACAAACTACCACACCTTCGGGAGAAAGTCTGTTGTAAACTAGACGTTATCTCGGAGACTTGCTCTCACTTTTTGGCAACAACTGCCTCTGACTTTGGTGGTCGCAAAGAAGTTTATTTCGAAAATTTTCTCATTACCTCAAATCGTAGGAGAGATGCGGCGCCCTCGAGCTTGCGCATTTTTTCTCGCTATTTTCAGTCGATTTAGTTCGGATTGTCTCAATAAAACTAGCATAGCTACAGACGGTAACCCTTCAGAATAGAGTTGCGTCCCGAGATCTATCGATAGGATGACGACAAATCATGAGATCACAAGCAATGTCACTCATGGTGACTCCATCGTTGTGAGTGGCCCTCTTCTAGGTGAATGCGCTAATGCTCTGGGTAAGCAGAACTCTCAACCTTCCACTTGTTGAGATACCAGAGATGTATACTTGAAGAATGAGAACAGACTGTCTCCTGATCATAAGTCGATGCGAAGAAAACTTCATAGCGTGAGTTCAGATGAACTCCGGACCGAGCAACTTATGGAGCATCGTACAGAGCTCCAAAGTTTCCGAAGAGTTTCAAAACAACTCGAAAATTCTGGGCACTAGCTTGTCAATCCGACGATGACGGTCGGTTTTGATTACCCGTGTTTCGAAGTTTCGGCAAGCCTTACGACCTACTGGGCGGCGATGGGCATTCTAGCCGACGAATGCAGGCCTGTGTCACAGCGCCTGCTGGTCTAGATGTGGTCAGTGCACACCAATCTTCGTTCGCACCGTTAACGACATGGGATTTGATCGCTATGCTGCTGCTCTTCGTACCACAGTTGCATATTTGAGCTGTTGCTAGTTCGAGAGTCCAATATTCCCTTTCTTGTGACTATCGTTTTGCTTACTAGCAATATGAACTGCATGGCCATAGGCTCATCCTTCTTCCTAAGATTTGTTTCTCTGTTCGATAGTGGTTTTTTCACTTTTAATTAGTTCATCCACTTTTCATAACACTGTTTTCTATTTCCTTCTCTATTTTTTCTATCTTTCTTCCCTAAACTTGCCTATACCATCAGCATAGGATTCTAGACTTTTCTTACCGGTTGTGACACGCCTTTGAGAGTAAGGAATAAATAAATAAATAAATAAATAAATAAATAAACAAATTTATAAATAATGTACTCCACATCTCAGTGCCAGAAAGCGGTCAAAGTCGCGTCCCATACTTTTCAGCCACCCTGTATATACCTGCTTCTCCATGAGTCCACATACTTCGTCCAGCACTAATTCTCTCTTCTTCTGCATGGTAAGACCATTTCAGTTGTGGTGATGCTGACTTCAAAATAGTTCGTCTTTTCAGAGCCTCGCTTAGCCTTGTCGTGCAAGTCCAGCCACAGGACTACCGGAGATAACAGCCTGCAAACGACATTCATCGCTCAAATACTGTTTGGTAATGAGATTTCTCCAAACTGTAGTCTCACCCATTTTGCATATAATCGACATCAAAGTTGTCATAAACAAAACCAAGCAGAAGAAGCATAGTTGATACCATAGGCTGCGAAGCGCTGGCCTGAAAAATAATTTGACAGCCATAAGAGAATCAAGAAACAATCGAATAGTGAACGTATGATAGAACTGAAATTTGAGAAATTTTCAGCAGTGTTTTGTAATTGTAAAAATATCGCTGTTTCCAACCTCAAGATATTCATCTGCGACATAATCGAATAATAAACAGGCAAAGTGGATTCTGGTGGATAGCACGCGAACGGCGTGCTCGGATGGTCCACTCATAACAGACTGCGCCATAGTAATTATCTGAAACGAAAAGAATGCAGCAAACCGTGCACTACATTTGCTTCATCTTTTAACGCAACATTTACCTCTTCAGTCATTATCTGACCGATCAAATGGCGACGACGCCATTCTTCATCCAGTGTGCTGACCATGCCCGAAACGAGGTCGGCACATGAGAACACGAGATCCGAACCGAGCTCCATCAAGCGTTTGCAGAGAGGCATCAGTTCAATGCATGCGCGAGAGATGGACAAGTCTGTCTAAAAAGGGAAGTACAGCACAATTTCAATTCGCACCACCCATTTCTCAAAAGTTTTTCTGCCAGATTTACTTATATAAGTATTAAGCTTTCAAAAACCATACATCGATATTTAGCTCCTTCAGAGGAGTGATTATCGGCATTTCCACGGAATCCTCTGCATCAAGCGAGGAACTGGTTCCAGCTGCACGTCTTGCTTCCCTTTCCTCACTGGTTCCACTACCTATTATAGGACAAACTAGGACAAAACTGAAATAACTCAAGCAATCCTCAACCCACTAGATGAAACTGCAACTCCAAGAAGAAAAGGTAGGTTAGCATCGACGAACTCGCCTTCTTCCAAATCTCCGACATCGTTGCTTCTTTCGAGCGACTACAAATTCAGTAAAATGAAACATGTAGATCGAAACCACTTTGAACAAAAAACACAGCTCACGAGCTAAAGAATCACCTGTTGCAATCCGGCGGCATTTCGGTTGATCAACCATTCGGTTGCACCTTCCTAGAACCAGTTGGGCTTCCAAAGCCTGCACAACTAGCTCATGAGGGAACCCCATATCGACCTAGAAAATCGGGAACATCAGTGGCCTTTTACGTTTACACACTAAACTGCTTACTAATTTGAAAAATAAATGTAGACATCCAAACGAGCAACTAACAGCAAGAACGCTTCCTCGAGGTAATAGTTTGCCTCAGTACGGATCGGCGTTTTGGCATCCTCGCCATCTGCGGCCTGAGTCTGGGGAGTGGAGCACTAGGTTCGCTCAGTTTTTGAAGCGCGGCTTGGTTTTCCTCAGAAGCGAAGTTATACGACTATGCCACACCTGAAAACACTACAAAATTGATGAAAGAAACATTTCGGAATAGAATACAGCCACAATTTAGACAAGAAAAACATACATCTTTATAGACAGAAATGGCAGTTTCGCACAATGTCTGACAGCATTTCAAATCAACTTTTTTCATCTGGACAGCTTAGCAAACAGGACGCAAAATGCACGGAAGAAATCCTAAACATCGAATGTAATATATGGATAGGTTTCAAAGTAAGTAGAAAGAAGTTTCTTTAAAAAAAAAACCATTTAACTCACGTTGTGCACCAGTTTCAAATACTTCTTCGGATCAAACTCGATAGTTAGTGGCTGGGGCTGACGGTACATAGTATTCAACATATTTTGCTTGTGTGCCAATTTACTGGCGAGACGGAACCATTCAAGGAATGCAAGCTCCAACCAATCTGAGAAACTTCATTATTGATGTAAAAAATTGCTGGAAACCTTGGAGGACCAACCATTGTAATCGCTTCCTAACGCAGGTGCAAGCTTGTGTATCATCAAATCACAGAAGGCATTATGGCAACCAGAGGTATAGAAACGTTGAAGCATTGCATGGAATGGCTGACGGCGATCGTCGAACAGAGCCACCGACATCTGCGCGATTACTTCTTGGAGGCGACCGAATCTACAAGAAAATAGTTCAGCGATGAAAACGATGCCGAGAACTTCGAAAAATGAAAAATGACTAACTCCATAGGAGGGATGGGACCGCCCTCGGGCACTTTGTGACACGTCCACTTGAGGTCACGGAAGAAGCCGGCAAAAACTTCATCTGCCATTTGCTGAGCAGATTTGGTCATAGTAGATGCAGAGAAATCGTATCTTCGATTTCGTCTCGTTGGAACAAAGCATGATCGTGACAGTTGACTAAGGAACTCCGACACTGTTCTGAAAAAAAACTGACATAGGTCAGATCCTGCATTTCGAGAACACTAAAAGTAACTTACTTATTCGCCTTTATCACCATATCAGCGACATTTTTGTGACGATGCCAAAACGCGTTTTCAGCTTGCGTGATCCCTGCCATCGCCCAGGCTGGTTGACGTGCAGCTGTTGCAGGTGGATCGACGGCTACCGACATCACATTGTTTGGCTCAGACGAACTGTGACTAAAACGTAGGCTATCATTTTAAATGATCTCATTTGATCTCAATGATCTCGAACATTGGAACAACAGCGAGAAGAATGAATAATATCCCAAATAAAGAACCTTATGGGAGTGCTTGTTCCAACTGACAAGGCTTCAATCTCACTCGGATCTGTTTGCGTCGTCGCTACTGCTTTCGTGGGCTCTATCATTTTGAGGAGTGCTGTCTCCCATGCAAGAACTCGGGAAACCTGAAAGCAACGGCACGGCTCATTTGTTACCAGAAGTTTGGTATCAAAGCATATGGACGCGAACTACCAGAAAATGCGCAGAAGAAAACCAAATTCGCGATACGTGTTCGAATCACATACCTTCCGAAATCCTGTGTGTAGTCTTTTACCAGTGTCCGTAAGCCATGCATCCCAAACACGATTCCGTAAATCTCCCTAAATTCGTTACAATATTTTGTCGCCTGATACATTAATATAAGAAAGACATTACCTGTGTGCCAGGAACGGAGAGGCTGTTATTCTTAGTCAGCATGCTGAGAATGGGAACAGCATTGCTCATGCTAGTAATTGCCGTTACGATTCCTTCATCTCCGAGTGGTACTAGTAACGATGCACCACCTCCGCTGGATTCACTATACCCACGTGATGTTCGCATAACAAATGGATTGATAGATTGTAAGAATACTTCCATTATTGACAGCATAAGTTTGTCCCCAGCTTTAACATGCTGCTGAAAAATAAACGATACGATGCTACGTGCCATGTGAAGCTATGAATTACCAATAAGTGACGTACCAGAACAAATTTCACAATACATCCAACGCTTGCGGAGAAAGTACTTGCAGCAAGGTCGGCTGCCAGGGATGGTAAATTGCACAGCGACAAAATCTAAATGATTGTCAAGACTAGACTCAGATTGATTTCTGCCCAACGAGCAATGCTTCAAAAACAAAAGGAGACCAATATTGAAAACATGCCATTCACAAATAGCAGCTTTACTTCAAAAATTTCAAAGATAATGAAATTTGCTTCTAGAAGTCACACAAACCTTTTCGACACCATTTTTCTCAACAAAACCTTCTACTAGGTCCGCTGCGGCCACTTGCGTGATGATTGCTTCGAATATCTTAACGGAATAGCATTTCAAAAACAGCCCAAAAACCGAACAATCAAAAGAATGATGAGCTAGAAGGCCACAAACCTTGGTGAAAATTAGCAGATAGTCACCAAGTGGAAGTAGCCTTGTACCATCCTTCGCGTCCGACGGACAATCCATTTTCAAGTCCCTTAATTAGATAATTCTGGTAATTTAACCAAAAAATAAATAATAAAACGCATATGTGAAAAATCTAACCATTTTGTCGGCCACACACTGGCCCAACACCGCTCAATTCATCCATGCTCATTTCTGCTTCATCGTCATCATCGGACATCTCTTCAATTTCAGGTGGAGACATCGGGAGCTACAATATGTATTCCACAGAAAATCAATGAAATGCGACGGAAACCAAAGTAAGCGACAATCATTAATGCACACCTGTTCAACATTTGGCGTGTTGGACCCACTTCCAAAACTCTGACTAGCGGCCTTGCTGGCAGATCTTGATAACGCCATGACAATTCTGGTATTTGGCGGTGGGTTGTTGCCGAGCTCAACAAGACGATCCAACATCTTGAAAAAAGGCAATGTAGCTGAGCATTTCGAAAACTAGCTTGCAAACTAAAATGAAACGAACCCCAAGAACCTCGGTTGAGCTTAAAGGTCACATGTGGGCTGAATGCTGCAACAAGTTCGTCCAGCGAAGCTCCCAATGCCCTGTGCAAGCTTCATCTGAAGTGGACATTAGTTTCACAATGGACAATGCGTTATGAGCTTCGCCTGCTTTCAAACTGACTCTTCGACTCTCATTCCATTCTTTCATTGTTACTATAATTTTATGCTCAGTACGATATTGAATCGTGACTCGAACCGTGCATACACGCCTGGACCCCACCCTTAGAACTGTTTCAGTCTAAATAGGGTCACCATGGCTATAGCATTACGCAATCATAATACCAATCAAGGACGCTACAGAAAGTGATTCAGACCCCCACAAGCTACACGCGATAAGCATACCGTTTCTCATCTTAGCTGCACAAGATGCTGGAACAACGGTTTCCCGATTGTAACTCGAGACATCGCGCCGAATTGGGAAGCTAATCATTCAATGATGTACATGCGATCACCACACAAGTATTCGTAATTGTAATTCAAATCCGAGCAAACGGCCTTAGTATTCACCTCTTTTCGCAGCATACTCTGCAGAATTACATACGGCACGTGTCTGCTTTGAAGAACCGTCAGTTGAGCAGGTTCCTTAAAAACTTGTGTATTTGTACTGCCTTTGAATAAAGTCAGTAGATATACCTGATAAATGAAAATTAACAACAAGTTGCGTTGCATGATGGTATAGAGACGCCGAGTAGTATTCCGAATTGCTAATTATGTGCATCAGCGCATCAGGCAATTGTCCCTCCATAACTATAACATTCACATTAGCAAGCAACGGCGGTAATTGAAAATTAAAGATTCTTGTGTTCTTTCAATTAAATTTAAAGCAACAGTTCAGGAACGGTTTCGCGGGAAAAAACCACCAATAATGAAGTTGTAGATGAAAACCAGACGATTAATGTATGAAAAACTGGAAAAAAACGTCGGGGAGGGTCTTAGACAGGTACTCTCCCTCTGCCGCTCAGCAATGGATAAAGACGCACGTTGGACGAGTTGTCTGAACGTGCCCGCTGTAAACGCGCTCCATTTTTCAATCAATTTTCCCTGTGGTCCCAAAACGAGCACGATTGCCGACGCGTCCAATGACGGCCGGCAAGGGGGCGGGATTGGGGAAATCCCCAAGAACACCCATGTTTGAGGGACTTTCCACCCTGTTTTTGAGTTTCTGAGGTAAGTTCGTTTATTATTTCCACTGCATATGTTCTTCACTAGGGCTCGTGTATCCCTCAGTAGTAGTGGCATTGAAATTTTCGGACCCTCCCTGAACTGTTGCTTTAACTTGTTATGTTCTTTACTACAAGGTAGAAATTATGCACTTACTATGTCGCACACTATCTTGAAACTGAGTATCCTGTATTGCTCGCTTGATGAATGTGATTAGCGCTTTGATCAGACCAGACCGCTGTGGATGACAAGTTTTTCCAATTACAGGTGCGCGCACAAAGACGCTACCGACAGTGTCATCGTCAACATCACCGCTGGTATCGATGACAAATGGTTGTTCCTTTCTGCATTCATCCACTTCATACTGAAAAAATAAGTATAAGGCAAGAAGCGTAGGTGCTGACTGATACAGGGAAAACATATAGGAACGTCTTACAAAAAAAAATATTTTCGAAAACAAACAATTAGACGGTCGATGCAGATGTCCATTCCTTTACAATTGTTGAAGCCCGTGACATCAATGGTCGTGAAATTGTCAGTAATTCGAGTACAGCGCGTTGCTAAGGTTGCTTGATCAAGTGGAAGAGCGTGATGCGAAATCACGCTGAGCAGTGTCTGCGTAAGACCACAGGCTGCCAATGTTTCTCCTAAAACAAATAGAGAAATACACCTCGAATTCCATCGCCTCAATTTGATGACTTGAAAACATTAAAGGCAAACCTCCTGGGTCATTGTTGCTGAGATGGTAGATGAATGACAGCAATGCTGTACTCAGTGCGACACTCGGCTTCCCTGGTGTATTCAGTGCGTTTCTCTTCATATCTTCTACTATGTTCCTCGTAAATACAGCTAAGAAACCGTGGTATGATCCTGCACTCAATACGTCAAGAATTTGTGACGTTCTGAAAGAATACGAAATTAGAACGTAAAAAATATTATAATGACACAAACTGAGAAAACCACACTTTTGAAGATTTGCTTCATACACAAAACAGATTAGAGAATTTTAGAGCAGACCTGCTGGCTTTCTCCAAAGAAACAACGCTGCAGAGCATTCGCAGCGCTTCCGTTTGTATCGGATCCATGAGTTCATGGGAATTCAAATCAACTTTTAATAAGGCCACGGCTTCTTCAATAAATCCACTATACAATAAAGCACTTATTTGAACGTCATCTGGCTGGCAACGGCAATAGACTGCAAATATCCACTGCATTTTAATTGATTCAAAACAGTGTAAATAGGTTTCAACAAAACGCACTTAGAGTTGAGATGGACAGCAGTCGCACAATTAAACACTGCATCCTGTGCTCCCGAACTTCGAAATGGCGCAACATTCTTATCCTAGCCAGCAAACTGTATCTATCCTCAGGTGTCATACCCTTTGCAAACTCATCAACTACTTTCAATAAGGGCTCGTCTACCTGAAAATGTAAGATTTTGAAAATAGAACAGAAATAATCAAAACATGTGAACAAATTAAAAAACGCACCATGTTGCGCTCAAAGATCATGGTATGCTTTGCTTTGCTATCAGTAAAAGTAAATGGAAACAACGGTGGTAGCTTAACATCTTTGTGAACGCAATCCTCCATTTTGAGGTTGCGCAATTTGCCTCCCCAGCACTGTAAATAAAATCATTTTGCGATTGCCAACAGTAGTAAAGTGATAAGTGCAACAAAATGATCCAGTCTTACTTGTGCCATTGCTGTGAGACTCATGACGAGTGAGGCTTGATCTTCTGGGCACAGCCTCTGAGTGAGGAATTTTGATCGTTTGCTGATAGTTTGCAAAAGTCTCAATACTTCGCCAACAAGATCCATATCGGTACACTCCGTCAATCGAATAATTCGCTGAATAAATTAAAATGAAGCTTCGCTGAGTAATTTGAAATGATGCCACAATACAAAAATTCTTTCGAACATGAGCAGCTTGCTACAATAAGCCATAGTAACTCTGCACACAATTTTCCAAGATTGTAAAAGCTACGAGCAATGCAAAAATATCTAAAACAAACATCTGTGCTGGCGTATATTCTCCTAGTTGATGTGCAGTCGAACAGCAGTCCGGTGAAACGAAGAATTGAAATTGTACGGTACTTTGTGACCGCGCATCGATCGACCTAAGATTGGCGATTTGTAAAAAGCCAAAGTAGAAGACAAGAAGTGAAGAACGATATTGAAGTGAAAAGCGGAGAAATCACCTTCATTTCATGATCTTGAATAACAGTCGCATCTTCTAGAATTTCATCACATCGATTCAGTACATCTGCCCATCTTGACAACTCGGTCTAAATAGAGGAAGTCGACAGCGAAAAGATAAGAAGCGACAGTATGCAAAGGCGTGGGTCGGGATCATGGCCTTAGAAAACCTTTGCTTAACTGCAGCTTGTTTTCACCACCTACGAAAACTGATAGACAGAAGCAGCAACACTGTACTCCCTACAGCCCCTCCACCACTTGCATGATTGTACACTAACCACAGAGACTGTTCAAAATGCGCGTTTTTTTTTTCGAAGTGTCTTTTTACTTGCTATGAGTTCATGTAATTGGCATATGGGTAAGACACTCATTTCACCTCAGCACCTTCGTGAGCACCAAAAAAGCGGGAAAAAACTCATGCACTTTTTTCCCGCTTTTTTGGTGCTCACGAAGATGCTGAGGTGAAATGATGATTTCAAAAAGTGTGTTTAATCCACTTGATAATCTTGATCACGAACAGTAAACTCATTTGAGCACTGCGCCTTTTGTTTTCAAAGTTTTTTTTCTTTCATTTAATTCGTATAAGCTTAAAGGAGGGTAATCCACAGCTTTCATTTTCTCCATGATATTGATTAGCTGCGTCAGTTTGGCGCCACTGACACCATTTTGGCGCCAAAACGAACGCTTGCAGTTGACTGAAATGCTGACTGAAATAAGCATCTATGTCTCAAGGTTTAACTTGGCGCGTCTATGGATTTGACGTGGCCGTCGCCTCACTCAATAGAGAGCGTGTGGATAAGTTAGTTCTAACATACTCTGCTGGATATCGGCAAAGCATGCCTGGAAGCAGCTTATCCGCGCAACTTCTGTCTATTGCGGCGTCCTTCACGTCAGATCCACAGATACGTCTGATCCGACTTCGAGATATGGACTACAGAAGATTCGACGGAGTCGCACGGCATCGGCGGCCGTAGGGCAGGGTCAACCTGATGAATGTGCATTCAAGCCTTTTGACGGAATGTCCGAATCGTACGAGTCGCGTACTGCGAAGGGGCTTAATCACTTAATTATTTGCATATGTTATTTGGTGAGCTCGGTTTTGTGTGGTTGTGCGCTAGAGCCAACAATTAATAAAACATTGGTTAGGTAGCCACTGTCTCACCTCAATAGAAGGATTTTAGCAGTTTTCTATGATTTCTTGGATAAATGGTTACAAAATTCGGAACTACATTCCGGCACGTAATTCCCCCTCGAGCGTACCGACGGCGTTTTTTTCGCTGCCGGCGCTTGTTTATATCATACGCCTGCATTAGGACTGCTTTGATAGTCTGCGATGTCTGCGACACGTCGCGCACGGTCCGTGCGGATCGCGGACAGAGCGAGAGCGTCAACACGCACACTGGCGCATGACGCGCATGGCGTCCACTCTGCGCCAGGTCGCGTTGTGCGCTCAGTGCGCTTGCCGCCTTCCGCTCTGTCAGCGCGCTCCTTAACCGGACGTGCGGGACGATGGCCGCGGATCGTCGCAGAGCTATGAAAAGTCGGGCAAGTATTATACGTTCCTTAACATACGCCTCAGAGACTTGGACTCTGCGCAGGCAGGACGAGCATGCGGTCAGCGTTATCCAACGCGCTGTCGAGAGGACGATGCTAGGAGTAACCCTATACACGCAAGTGCAGAGGGGAATCCGGAGTGCCGAACTACGCCAACGATCGAAGATCAGGGACGCTGCCGTTTTCGCCAAGGAATCGAAGATAAGGTGGGCCGGACACGTCATGCGATTTTGCGATGACCGTTGGACCAGAGCGGTTACCGACTGGATCCCTCGGGACGTCAAACGAACACCTGGACGACCGCCGGCCCGATGGTCAGACTTCTTCACGAAAGCTCTGAACGAAAGGAATGGAAGGACATCGTGTCCCTCGAGCGAGGAGGGTCCACTGGACAACTCTTGCACGCGACAGGGACGAATGGAGACGTTGCTGGCGCCCGCTCGAGCAATTCGATGATCAACGGGACGACAGGTGATACAGGTGATTATCATCACACTGTAAAGATGAAAAAAAAAAAGTAGGAGGATTTTAAAATATATTGGGTGTAAGCCAGAAAACGGGACGTGAGCGGCAAGAATGGAGCCATTTTATTTGTTTCGAATGTTCGCGGTCACCCATCAGGCCCTGTCTCATTTTCTTTTACTACAGAAATAACAAAAACGTAACTATACCAGTAACACTGCTCAACAGATTTTTTTTGGGTCTCATCCAGTAAGGGGGGGGGGCATCAAGTGGCTGCCCTCACCCCCACCCCCTAGACTGCCTACACTCCCCCTGGCGCACAGGTTTCTCGAAGTACGGGACCCCGTGAGCCAGGGGGAGTGAAGGCAGTCTAGGGGGTGGGGGGAGGGCAGCCACTTGACGTTGCATCACAATGCCCCCCCCCCTTACTGGATGAGACCCGATTTTTGGCTGAAAGTTCGCCTATGCAGGTCATTGGTGCCCTAATTACGAAAGAATTCACCCTGACGCTGTCACAATGTGGATTTCATATTCGTGACCACGCAGCCACACAGAGACGAATAAGCATGCTATGCTACAAGTTTTAACTAATTTGTATCAGTCTATAAAACTCATAAACTGGCACTGTATTTGCAGCATCGAGTTTTTGCACAGTTCTTGAGGAGGCCGATGTCAGAGTTTGCGAATCGAGCGATTCGCTAGCGTCCGGGGGGGGGGGAAGTGCCATTTTCTGAAGCACGGATAAGTCATTTCTAATCCTTTTGGCATTTATACAGCGGCTCAGGAAAACATTCCTCTGTATTTCATGCGTTCCCGTACAACATGTGGAAACTGTTTTGGAGAAGCGGTCCTTGTAATATATCAAACCCCAACAATACCTTTCCTAATACGGCTTGAAGCTCTCTAGCTCGGTTTAATTCTTCGATAAAGAGTTCCACAGTTGAGGCTCCTTTAATTGATTCAATCAAGCTGGCGCATAAAGGCGGCTAAAACAGAACCAGTATTTATGAGTGATGCACAACAGAAGAATTGATAAAGCCCTTACCAACTCCCCGTTGCATGCAGAATAACTTTGAGGATCAATCTTCATTGTTTACAACACATTCGAATATGAACAATATGAATAACGCTGAAATCAATTCCTGATTATGCAGTGAAGAAGATGAAAAGAGGGCGCAAGGTATGAGAGATCGAAGACCAGAACTGGCACGGCTCCTCCACTCCGCACGAGAAGGAACAAACAATGCAAAAATGTGGTTTTATCTGGTGAATCTACGATGGCGCTAATGCACCCGTCATGAGAAAGAACGGTGACTTCTCGTTTGGGACCCATACGATTGGCTATTGTCATCGTTGCCCATGGAACATTACGAAACTCTTATCAAATCAATGGGAACGAAATCGGCAACGCAACGGTGGAGAGGAAGCAGCCAGCCCAGTGACTAGCGGAGCACGACGTCCGAAAACATTCATGCTTTTAAAGGATCCCGTCGTCGGGACAGGAATTGCTATTGGAGCACCAACCGCGTACTCGCCACCGCAAAAATGAATCGCCCTTTAATTTCTCCTCATATCTGGCAACCTATCAGTGTTGATCATTTTTGTAGCATCTTTGTGAAGATATCAGTCTGGTGTTCTCATCCAGTAGGTTCTCATTACTATGAAATAAGGTTAACTTCTCAATTCTGGGGGTAAAATATTCTCCATTCCCCTCACAATCCATGCTTTCGCGGGGAATGTGACACTGAATCCGTTTATTCGGGTTTGTTGCAGAATAGGGTTTGCCTTTTCGTATCATCTGCAACTTTCTGCAAAGATCTGAGCCGAATTTGGATATCTTTCAGAAGATTTCTAGATCTGATAAGTTTTCCAATAATACATGCACATATTTGGCCACCAGAGAATGCAACACGAGGCTTTCATTATTGTGGTTACGTGGGCCGCAGCGTAAACCCAAGGGCTATAATATAGAGTTGGTTACGGATAGTCTGGTTTCACGACCCTACATATAAAAAGGACTGGAACAAAGTGAATGAGGTGGGGGTTATTGCTGAAACCACGGGCTGGTGTGCTTGCATTCACAGAAAGTTAGGCTGCGAGTGCACTTGTCCATTCCCGAAAAGTGAGGCGGTATCCGATATGAAATCGCGTAAAATCGATATCTTTCTTAACTGTTGACTTTGGGGATAAGTTGCAATCAGTTTGAGGGGCATCATGGCAGCGTAACCTCGATTTCAACTTTTTCTCGATCGTCGCCGCTGCTCGCACGTACGTCTTACTTGGTTCTTTTTTAATTGGGACATTCCACTAAATATGGGCTGAGTTTTAAATATGGCGACTTTGAGATCAATCGCAGAGTCGAACGAGCATTTGATCGCAAAGCCTGACACCTGCCTTATACGTGCATGTGGCTCTGGATCGCCTTCTTGGTTTGAAATGGGATTCCGGTAAAGTTTGCTCAGGTTGGCCAAGCTTTCCAGCTCGTCTGGGTCAGCATCAGAAACAAGTGTCCCGAACAGGGTCAACCCTACGTTGTTACGAGTAACAACGGGGGGGTCGTACCTGGTTGAGTTTGTAGGAGGGGGGGGGTCGTACCCACTTTAGTCGCTCGAAATCACGTGTGGATTGAGGAGAAAGATTTCGGAGATATTACCGTTTCAGAGTGACTATATACCCCCGCTCGACGGCATTTTTGGAGGAAAAAGTGGGCGGGGTTTTGATGGAAGATGGAGATGGTGGAGGTAGGGAAAAGGGGGTCGTATCAAATCCACCTTGGGGGAGGGGGGTCGTAAAAATTTTTCGAAAAGTAACAACGATAGGACAGACCCTGCCTACTAAGGTGTTTCTCACTAGTCTCCGCCACCATTATCTCTTTGTGAGGAACTGCTTGTATTTTAAGACGAGCTTGTTCACAATGATTACTCACCTTGTCTTCATGTTCAGTTTTCAAATGTTTAGATGGGCACTTGCGATTTTTCTGCGAATCGCGTGAGTCGCGCGACGGATCGCGAACTCTGACACCGCCCTTACAGTAAGGTCGTATTGCGTATTCTTGACGGATTTCTCTTATTTTTTGCCAATGGCGTACCATTGGGCACCTGTATGTCCCTCCAAACTCCTCCAGAACCTACCATAGTCGCTGCCAGTTGAAGGCGGCATATTTGCCCTACTTAACACCCAATTCGTGTAACATCCGCTCTGCACGAAGGAAGTTTGTTCGAGAATTTGGATGTTTCAGAAGTGGAATGCTTACCGTGATAGGAGGCAAGGCCTTAGAGAGCAAGACGTGAGCCTTTCGCGGCAAAGCCTTAATCGAGATGGCTAACAAGGTCTACCCGTGGCACGAACCGACTTCGCGGTTGGGCCACATCCAACTTGAAAAGGGTTCAGTGATAACGAAGGTGTGTTGGATGTTACGGTAGGGGGTCACTCAGCGACCAAAACTGTGCGGTCCACTGTTCAGCTACTTAGGGTAGATAGGTAGAGGCTGACCAGCAGTTGTGGGGTTTGCGTAGCTCTCCCTAACCTCTGCACCCAATCATACCCAGTGTTGCCCCTTGAGCGGGAGCCTCCTCACCTGTATGAATAGCAACATAGGCAGTAGCGAGGAGATGTTAGCCTATTCACCCAACGTTTTTGCCGTCCATCGTTTTGATAGTCCCCCTTTGTTGTACCTATACTCTCGTCCTACTGGCAAGCACCTCGTCGTGTATCTCCTTGCAGCTGCTGATGAAGGGCTCCATCCTAGCTGTTCGCGGCTCAACAATTTCAACTTTGAGGAAACTACTGCTCCAAGTCAGGTTGCCGGCTCGTGATTCCCTACTTGACTCGGACCGATTCCGAGATTTCATTGAAGCCGGATCTGAAAGGGGAACCGTCCGCTCCATGAGTGCTGATACTGTTATCATTACTGTTTGATTCTCATCCCGAATGAGCAATAATTTCAACTGGTTGTGTATCCTCATTTGTCCATCTAATGTGGTACCAATCAATAGTCTAACGTTTCCAGCGATGTCTTTCTCATTGTCTTGGTCGCTGACATGAAGCGGACACCATAGGGTAGAATATGTTTCCCATTTTGCTGGACTGGACTGCTTTCTTTCATTTTTCCTCCAGCCCTGGGGCACTTACCGCCTCCGTTTTTACTTATAACGGGCGACTAATTTATCGTATCGTCAGCATCGAAGGGTTCTGCGTACGAGCCGCACGCCGGTGAGTGTCCATGTTCAGTCGAACGATGGCAAAACGGCGAAAGTGAAGGAGATTGGGGCGGAGCTGAGAGCTTTGAATACAAACTGTCGTTGATTTATGCGGCGTTCTGCTGCATTGATGACAATTGTCGTCTCTTCTAGCCGCTTCTCTTTACTGGGACATTTCCTTAAAGTTGTTGCAGAAATAGCTTCAATTTCGGGCTAAAATACATTTATGCTTTGAGGACGCTTTGGGGGGATGCATGGAAGTTATACGAAGTGCTTCCACGCATAAAATACTGAGGTTTTTAAGAAACTGCATTTGGCACGTTGTCGTTCTCTCATCACTTTTCTGGTAGTCCTCGTGTTTTGAAAAGAAAACATTGGGTGTTCTCTCAGCTGTTTTTTAGACAATGGACTTCTCTGCGATCGATGAACTTATCGATCGAGCTCGAAAAAACGATAACTACAGAACGACTGATGCACTCTATAAAGAGGCGATAGCCGAAGTTGAAGCCGCTTGTCAGAATGTAGGGGCAGGCGAAAGGAAACAGTTGCGACATGTGAGTTATTGTGTCATTGCGGGGTATTATAGGCGTCTGCAGGGAATTGGCCGATGTCAGAGTCTGCGATTGGAGCGATCGGTCAAATGCCAATCGCGCGACCATCGCGCGATTCGCGCGACGATCGCGCGATTGACATGAGTCCCATCATGACCAATCGCTCCAATCGCGCGATGGGCGCGATCACTCCCGTTGTGGCAGGGCGCGCCCACTCGATCGATGCCTCAGTCAACGTATCGATCGAGGGGGCGCGCCAGCCACACACGGATGATCACGCCATGGCAGATTGAGCTGATATGGGACCTGTATCGATGAGCGAATTGTCAGCGCGGATGGTCGCGCGAATGAGCATGGTCGATTTGACGATCGCTCCAATCGCAGACTCTGACATCGGCATTTTGGTTTAGAAATCGCTTGAAACTCGATATCTCGTTCCTGGTAAGCGCTGGTAACACGAAACGGCTGAATGAGTTTTGTGCTAATCGTCACGTGGCTTACGAACACATGGGCTGAAACTTCTTTAGGATTCAGCTGTCTCATTGGCATTATATCTAATTACAGAAAAAAAAAACAGAGAAGTAGGTGCGAGTATAACCAGAAAATCGATCTGTCTCCCCACTTTCTTCACGATCTGGGGGCGCGCCGCGCGGCGAGCGCGGACGAGTTGGTAGTGCCCGCGAACTGTGTGAAAACACTCCATCAGCACAGTTCGCGGGCACTGTGAACGCGTCCGCGCTCGCCGCGGCAGTGCCCCAAATCGTGAAGTAAGTGGAGGAAACGATTTAGCCTGTTATGCGAAGAAACACCTGAAGGTGCTACTTTATCTTGAGCACTCAAAGTGGTCGTGTACTCTCGAGGAGTTGTGTGCAATCCTTTGCATTTAACGTCGGTCCTCAGAGTCTTTTCTACCTGCGCCGGTAACGATTTCGATCAGCGTATCTCTGTAGTTTTCCTGTGGTCATTATTTAAACCTATCAGCGTTATCCTGTAGTTTTCCGTGTCATTATGTAAACCTAGGAGTCTTAGTCCTGTACGAGAACTTGGGTCATCATTATCCAATGCGTTGTGGAGGGGAGGGTGCCAAAAGTCGCTGAGTACAGGAAAGGATCTGGAGTTTTGAACTCTGCCAACATCGAAAATGTGGGGCGCAGCCGCCAAGGAATCGAAGATCGGATGGACAAGATACGTCAGAAAGTTTTGTGATGACCGTTGGACCAGAGCGGTTACCGACTGGATTTCGAGGACGTCAAACGAACACCTGGACGACCATCGGTTTGATAGTCGGACTTCTTGAAAGCTCTAAACGAAAAGAACGATCGGCTCCGTGCCGGACGAGGAAGATCTACTGTAGCACTCTGCACGCGACAGTGAGACCGACGTCACACTCGGCGATGGACAAGCGATGGAGCGATCGCGATCGCTCCATCGCTTGTCCGTCGCCGACTGTGACGTCGGTCTGACTTATAGAGACGTTACTGGCTCCCTTCGAGGAGCTTAATGAGCACAACTACACTACAGGTGATACAGGTGATGTGTTTCCAAATTTTTTTTGATTCATTTGTGGTAATCTTTTCTCTTTTTTTTCGTTTTTTAGTTGGCAGATGTTTTGCAATATTCTGGAATGATGGTTCTGGATTAGTATTTAATGAAACCTTTTAAGGTGATCACACTACTTCGTAAAGAGCGAAAAGCGAGAGGGAAAGAAGCCGACAGCATCAAAGAGTTGTATGCAACAATGCAATCACTAGAAAGCCCTATTGACGCTCCTCCGGCCGATCCAGATGTCTGGCCTGCACCACCGCCTAAGAGAACAACTACTCAGAATACTCGCACAAAATCCACTCCGAGCAAGGTACTGATCAACATAATCCATTTTCTGAAGCATCAATGTAGGCTTTGTTAAGACCATGCTACTTGTTTAATTTTGCGACGATGACATTGAGAGTACTACTCGTGGTTTTTGCACGTCTCTGCTCTTCAAACGAATTGTACCTTTTCTTTATTTCCTCGTTTTCTTTCGCGCGGTCACAGTCATAGTGAGCGAAGAATCGCCGAATCAGTAGTCGCAAGCCCTGCCATGCGCTTTCTTTTGCTTGATGTCACCACTCTATGTAAAATAGGGAAACGATATATGTCAATGGCTTCAGGCACGGCTCAATGAAACTACAGAGAATGTGACAGTGGTCGTGAAAAAGCCGGTCCGAAAGTCGAACAGTCAAAATGCACTCGGAGACAAGAAAACTAAACAGAGGTGAGTTACTGAAAAATCTTTTATAACCTCCATATAACGTTCCTGATTCAGGAATTTCATTTTAAGTTAGGTCCCGAGAGTAATGTTCTGTATGTATGCATTATTTTGCTTATGAACATGTTTGCTTGAGAGTTCAAGAATTAGTTCACCTACTTTGAGAGCATGTCCAAAGGATGATGATCCTAGTGGTTCCACAAATGCTGGAAATGCCACTGAAGCGGCGGAAGCTGCAGCAACTGAAGAGAAACGTGCGGACGAGTTCGTTCCTAAAGGATACTGCCCAGTTCGTTAATATTACTTCCCACTCTTTGCTTTTAGAGTTTTTAGGCTTCCGACGCCCATTATTATTCTTCGACGAAAGTTCTGAACAAGCATGACCCGCAATGACCGAATCACTGGGGGAGCAATTAGGCTTGGGCTTATGAAGGGCCGAAGGAATTGTTCAAACAAACTATTGTGCTTCCAGCTCTTATGCCAGAATTCTTCAAGGTGAGCTCACGAATTTGGTCCTTCTATTTCCTACTTGGCCACAATTGATAGCATCAATGAATGTCGAATACGTTGGTTGAATGAATAAATAAATATATCAGGGAATCCGTCGACCATGGCGCGGAGTATGTATGGTTGGACCACCAGGCACGGGCAAGACGCTTCTAGCAAAGGCCGTAGCTACCGAATGCCAGACGACATTCTTCGCTGTTAACTGTGGAGACCTTGCTAGTAAATGGCGTGGTGACTCGAGGAAATGATCAAGCTTCTCAGGTTTGAAATTGTACAGCTATAAAGAGCGCTATTTGTGATTATAAATTCGCTTGCTTTATTGATTACGTAATGGTTTTTCTTCTTAACGGGTCAATTTCTTTCAAGGCTCGACATTTTGCCCCATCCACAATTTTTATCGATGAGATCGATACCATTGGAAGTCAGCGTGGACAAGCAAATGAACATGAAGCCAGTCGGCGGTGAATAACTATGAACCGTTCTTTACAAAATTTGCAGGAAGTTATGAAGCACCTGCTTATAAGTCTAGAAAACTGGAATCGTGAGCAGCCTAATTTATGCTGCTGATTCCAAAAACTCCACCATTGATCACAAGAATGCTGAGTTGTTGGCAAAACTTTCGCGTCAGTCGGAATTCGTACCCGCATCTCGTGCTTTCCGGGCAATTGTGTTACCAGTTATGGTGCCCCGGTGGTGTACCTGGTAGCACGATTGCCTGGAAAGCAAGAGATCCGGGTAAGAATCCCGACTGGAGCGAAA